TTGTCTCAAGATCAGTTTTAAAGCCCAACTCCAGGAAGCCCCAAAACCCTCACAACTTATTTCTGTCTAAGAAATGTAAAAGCAATTTTATTTACCCTATGCTCCACTCACCCAATAGACTACACCCCACATGCCCCGGCAGTAGACTGTTCTTCCCCAGCCTCTGGTCCTTGTTTTGGTCTTGAGGTTGTCAGAAGGCCTTAGAGCGCCAGCGCATAAGGAGAAAATAAGCCTGCGGGGACCGGTCTAGCAGCCCCGACGAGACTGCAGGTACGGAGGATCGGGTAAGTAAAACTGCTTTACCAAGCCCCCTAGACCTAAAGGAGCAGTTAACCCTTGCAGTGCGGGTGCAATCCAGCCACAAAGAATGATTTTTAGGTTTCCTGGAGTTTAGTTTTAATGATTCCTTATGTATATAGCGTAAACTACATAAGTAGCATGCAATGGCAATCAATCACACATGTTTGGGGCCTTATACAATCAGGCGAGATCATTACTTGTGCACTTTACTCCATAGGGAGCCTTTGGTTCCATATGTTTAGTGGTCAATTGCTACTTCTAGAGATTACTCTGTAGCAATTTTAGTAGCAAGACTGAGCTGCCTCAACACAACGCATGTTAAATCACAACATAATTTGTGTTAGTGCACATGCATTCATGAAATGCAATGGATTGCAAAAGTGTGAATCGGCTCTAAATCTCTTAAGCAAGAGATGAGTAGCATCTGTAAAACTTACTTTAGTTATCTATTGGCTGCAACTCCAGTTTTTTTTTCTCCAGTCTTAATGCATTAGAAATATTTTGTGTTCCAAAAATGGCACTTTTATACAGTTCTTGCAAATTGCACTGAGGTGACACACAACATTTAAATACTGACTAATCAATGAGAGGAATAGTAACGTCCTGAATGTTGTATCTGTACTGGTCATGAATAATCATGCGCACGGATGCCACTTAACCTCAAACCTTTCTCTAAGTTGTCTATTATTTTTAAAGACTTGCACTCAGAGCTCATCAGAGACTGAGAGGGAACCAGGAAAGTAATGGCAATTTAACATAATGTCACTGAGTGAAAAGTTGCATGTACAGAGCTTCTGTAATTACCAGCTGTTGAGTTCATTTAATGTACACCAGAAAACCTACATTTTTGTGTTAGCGAGTTTCACTTTCCATAATGTGCATATATGATGGCGGCGGTTTTAACCTTACAATCTCTGTTGAATTAAACAGGAATATGCATCTTATTAAGAATGGATTTTCATATACAGTACATCATGATAAAAGCTTGTACTCTGTATCAGATGTCTACAGATAACTTAACTCTTTTGCTGCCAAGGCCATCTCACATTCTTTAACTCGTGATGGTAGGGCCAATAAAAATATATAAATTACAGACTTGAAGGTTAAGCAAATACCCCCCTCCACCCCATCTTCCATGCTTCATAGGCATTCCAGTCTAGGTAGAGGTGTCAAGAATTTCCTTCTGTTCCTCTTGGTTGCAAGCAATTGCTTTACAATTTCTACATCCTACTTCCTTTTACATCCCTTTTTCCCATTGCAGTTTATTTATTTTTTTTGGTAGGGAATTTTCCACAGGGCTGTGTTAGTAGAACTTTCTTGGCAGGGTCATTTTTGCCCTATGAATAATAAGACCTGGTCTTCTAAGCCTGCTTATCGTTATGAGTTTGACATTATTAAAGTCACTAAACAACTATCAGGTCTTGTCTGTTCTGCTACATTCTTTTAAATTCTGTACCATACATGAAAGAGTATTCCAAAGCCATCCTTGATCTTGTCTCAGACTTCCCATGTGCAGGGGTTAGACAAAAAAATGGAAACGCTACATGATTTGCAGGTGTGAAAGTGACATGTTTTGCTTTGAAAGTGGAAATGATGTAACTTCTTTTGCTTCTGCTGTGTGACGAGACACCTTGCTAAATGGGGGAAGCTTCACTTTAATCATTCACTGCGTAGGCTGCTAATAATACAGAACCATTTCAGAGCTCACTGAGCTTCAAAGAGGGCAAATTGTTGGCGTCCACTTAGCTGGTGCCTCTGTGACTGAAGTTGCCAATTTATTTGCCGTGTCATGAGGTAGTGTTTCCACTTTTTGTCTAACTCCTGTATGTAGAGGGCTTTTTCCCCTTCAAGGGTGACAGGTAATGCAGCCTAATCTCTTCCTCCTGATTGACCAACAATGTAATGAGTCATCCCACCTGAGCCATGCATAGAGTTATTTATTCTTCAACAACATTATAATGGAAAATTGTATCAAATATTTACCAAAATGTTCCTTTCCTGACACAAATCCATGGCAGCGTATTACCACATGCTGCCACGCTGGCATCAAGAAAGTGACTTCCAACATCAGCCAGCTTTTTTTTAATTTAGATTAGGGAGGGTTCAATCCACTGTTAGTTTTTTTTTCCCATCTGTTATTGGGAAAATGTATTTCCTGTCCTTCAGACTCAACAGGAGAGGATATATTTCTGATATGAGGGCGAAGTATCCCCTTTAAGACAGTTATCACAGGAACAAGCCTCCCCGATAGAAGACTTCCCCCCCCTGTATTCCTGTTCTGGAGGCAATACTTTAATTCCTGGTGACATTGATGACCAGAACAAATAAAGAAGAATGATTCTTCCTAAAAGCAACACAGACAGCAATAAAACCTGACTGGTTCTAACCCCTCATCTCTCTAGCAAATCCCCCCCCAAAAAAATTAAATTAGTGGCATACATACAGTATAGCCACATTTAGTAGTACGTCGACAATGCTCTACAAAGTGCTGGTATAAAGCCACAGGGGAAACCTACCCAATTCAATAGTCAAGTCAATAATACATCCTGTAGACTTTTCATTATTGAAGCTGGGTATAAAATGACAAAGGGTTGCTCCACAATAGTGTGTTAGGGCAATATGTGGTAAGATGTGTTTTTCAGTTTATGGTCAATACGCACATTAGCACAGGTGTCTTGCAGTGATATTGATTTCAAATGGCACCCTAAAACACACATACAGTAGCTGCCCGTGCACCTGCACGACCGCACACCATAATGCACATACTGTACAAAAACGCACACACAGATGTCACACCACTGTGTTATTTGTACATTACTCAACAGACAATAACAAGAATATACACATGGCAAACAAAACCATGTACTGTATTAGTAAATTAGTTATGATCTGTTACCAATGCATTTTGCCATGGGCTGCAGTGCTTAAGCATCATAGATTCTCCTTTAGTTCACTTGATCAGCTTCTGCATTGTTAAAGGTTCAGTATAGAATTCCATATTCAGAAAATGTCTGTGGGCTGTTAACACATGCTCCAGTCTCCAAGAACACAATGCATGTGATCATCATGTGATTTTCTGGGTGGCTTCCCATGTGATCTGACAGATGTATTTGCCTGTAATAAAGGCAGCAAAGTGCTTCAAGCTAAACTTTGTATTTTCAGATACATGTTACCAAGAGTTATCAAATTTATTGTCAACCAATTAGCTTTTGGCATTTGATCATTCATACTACGAAGAGATGATTTCTGAACCTTTAAAATAATACTTTAGTCCAAATTAGTTTTTGTAACAGTGGGGTTAGAGCCTGTGTGAGGTTTTTATTGCTTTCTTTATTCCGCTGGAGAATTTGCCCTATTGGAGCCAGTCAGAAATAGAAACCTGTGTGAGGTTCTAACTTATACCTGGTCTCAGAAGTAAAGATGTATAGAGGTTCTGTGAAAAGCTGCATCTAAACATTGTTGAACAGTTTCAGAATAATATTCCTCAACAGGGGCGGACTGACCATTCGAGCACTCGGGCACTGCCCGAGGGCCCGGGTCATTAGGGGACCCCATAAAATGCCCCTGGTACCTTTTTTATAGGCTTTTTTTGGGTGTTTTTTGAGTGTGGGCAAGGACACAGGGGCCCCATGATCCCCAATTGCCCGGGGGCCCCATGAATTGTCAGTCCGCCCCTGTTCCACAACATAAAATTTCAAAGACTTTAAAGATGGTATCATCTACAGTACATAAGATCACGATTTGTGAACCTCTGCCCATCTTTACTTTTGAGACACTCTGACTCTCTAAGATGCTCTTTTTATACTCAATCATTTTACTGACCTGTTGCCAATTAACCTAATTATTATCAAAATGCTCTTCCAGCGTTTCCTTGTTAGCACTACTTACTTTGCCAGCTTTTTGTTGCCCTGTCCCAACTTTTTTTGTTGCTGCCATCAATTTCAAGATTACGGTACCCTTTCTCTTACAATGTTACATTTTCTCAGTTTAAACATTTGATAAGTTTTCTATTTTCTATTGTAAATAAAATGTGTTTCTGAGATTTGCAAATCATTGCATTCTGTTTTTATGTAGATTTTACACAGCATCCCAACTTTTTTGGAATTGGGGTTGTACATTGTACAATATAAGTAAAAGAGAATTATGTTGTCCCTTTTATGTAAAAAATAAATTTCCCCTTCCTTTGTTCATGTTTTCTCTCCCTGTGCTTTGCATACCATGTAGACTCTTTGCAGGAATCTCCTGTAGATATGTGCATGCTGCAGTAATGTCTGAACATAACCAGTTTATTGCTGTGACTACAACAGAATGTGCCAGCTGACAGGGCATTAGCATGGATGGATAGTTGTAGTCCAACTCATTAGTACACAGGAATGGGTGACAACATTGCAGCTTAACTGTAATAAGTGATATCCTACTACTGAAAAGTCTGCTAGCCTTATTTATGTTAATGGTAATGTCTCCTAAAACAGAAGTAGTAGGTCTTTGGAATATTTTACTTATTATCTGAACCTGGTTTAATACTTTATTGCCTTTTCTCTGTTTTCCTCCCACAGACCACATTCCCTGTGACTCCATCACTTGCAACAAGCCCATCCATGGCTTTTAGCCCATACCTGAGTCATGTCTCCCCAGGAATGGGCTTGGTTCCCGCTGAACTCTTACCAAATACGCCTGTCCTGGTTTCGGGGAATCCAGCTGTTACAGTTCCTGGTGGCTCTGCTGGTCAGAAACTGGTGCGCACAGACAAACTTGAGGTAGGAGGTTTGCCATGGTAAAGATAGAATCTCATCCTGTGCATATAAATTGACTTTAAATAGCTTCCTACATCTGCCTAAATTGATTTCTTGAAGTGACTAATTGCATAACTCTGTGGGTAATTTTGTCCATGGCCATATTGAACTGTAAAATTTTAAATAGTTTAGATTTCTAGATTAGAGAGCAGGAGAAAACTTGTCAAGCTTTCTCTTGTATTATTAATATTTAAACATTGACATTTTTAAAGCTTTGTGTATCTGTGCAGAACTTTGCTTTGTGTTCCTCTAGAGACTGTTACAGTTCTGAAGTCAGATGTCTACACTAAGGCTGCATACTCACTGTAAATTTCGTAGGTGGGTGGCCCTGTCAGCCCCTGACATCCAATCAGGTATTCTGACGGGTGCTGGCTGCAGCTTTCAGAACGCAATAGCTGCAGTGGGTGATTCATCCATGCGTGCTGTATAGCATGGATAGGGAAACCTGAACTAAAATAATCTGTGTGTATACAAAGCTTTAGATGTGTTGGATCTGAAGCCATACATCAGGCAAAAAAAAAAAAAAAAAAACGATAATTTCAAGAACCCAATTCATTGTCCCACATTAATCATAACTGCCAGTGTCCTTCATGTGCACAAGTGGCACTTTTTTGGGGTAAGAGCAGGTACCCAGTTTTGACAGATACCCGCTCCTACTTCTGGTTGGATTGCCTCGGCAATTTGAGCTGAAGTTGGGCCTCCTCTGCTCTGCAGCTGGCTTAATATAAGCACACTTACCTGTCCAGGGATCCAGCCCTGTCCTCACCCAAGAAAATTCTCCTATCAGCTTCAGTTCCAGGCGCCAGCATCTTAACTAAGGGAAAGTGGTAGTGAAAGGCTCGGTCTTCTGGGACAGATCACAGGTCCCAGAAGACCGAGGGACCATTTGCAAAGCACAGCATGGCTCATGTATGCACAGTGGGAAACTGACTGTGAAGCCGCGAGCCTTTCACTAGCACTTTCCCTTAGTTAAGATGCTGGCGCCTGGAACTGAAGCTGATTGGAGAATTTTCTTGGGTGAGGACAGGGCTGGATCCCTGGACAGGTAAGTGTGCTTATATTAAGCCAGCAGCTACAGTATTTGTAGCTGCTGACATTTAATTTTTTGGGGGGAGACTAGAACTATTTTTTAACACTACTCTCTTCCTGAAATCACGGTAATAGTGCTCACCCATCTTATGAGTCAATGTAGAAAGACATGATTAAAGGTATACCTGTAGACTGCAGAACCCAAGCAAATTGCAGACACAATTGCACCCAAGGCATGCTATCAGCTGTGCAATGCAGAGTGTTTCATTTTCTAGTCATCTTACCTAGGAGAGGGGATAGAACAGGAAGCAGTGGCAGTCAATTACAGGAGAACAATGGTGATCACGGCTAGGTTTTATACCCTTGCTCTCAGCTTTTCCTCTCTAGACCGGCATGAGGCCACCCTCATACCACAGAGAAAAAACTAATTGTGTAGCTGTCACCTCATGAAAAAGCAGAGTCTTAAGCCCTAATCACATTATCGCGTTGTAGAAACTTGCACATTCCCTTGTGCATTACCACAATGCGGGGCACCATGCGCTACTTGTGATGGGGAGATTTTTAAATGGCACCCCTTCACACCTGTGCATAATGTACAGCAGCAAAACACCTGGCCAGATGTTAAAGTGCGTTGTAGTGTGGTGCACTGTCAAAAAGAGTGCAGGTTTGATGCCAGCTAAGGTGAGTGCCAGCCAGGGGCGGACTGACAACTCATGGGTCCCCAGCAATAGGGGATCATGGGACCCCTGTGTCCTTGCCCAAACTCAAAAAAGCCTATGAAAAAGGTACCAGGGGCATCTCATGGGGCCCCCCACTGACCCCGGGCCCTTGGGCAGTGCCCCAGTTTCCAAATGGTCAGTCCGCCCCTGGTGCCAGCCCATTCATTTTGAATAGGCTGCCTACAGTATATGTGAAAAAAATTGTGTGCTTTAATGTACCACCCCTCATTGGTTAGGTGTGCACTGCTGCATTGGGGTAATTTGTGCACAATATCACAGTCCATGGCAATGCATGTTATACCCATGGTTGCACTTCTTTGCCATTAATTCTGAATGGCAATCCAACACATCTGCATTGCAGTGTACTATTAAGCAAGGTAGTGCACTACCATATGTTGTGGTTCACTGTGTCACAAAAATGGTGCATACACCTTTTATGTACATAAAAGATGTAAATATGTTGTATTTCTTCACTCAATGTGCTGTATGGACAGTGAATGTGAAGCAGAACATTGATTAAATCATCTCCTCTCCTCTAAGCATTTTTACAGTATTTGACTATACTGAGCAAAACAACAAATCACAGATTGCCTTAGAGTACTTACCCTGTTCCCACTGGGGAACACTGTAGTATAGGTTATTACATGACGTTAGTATAAAGACATATTTAGATATTTATACTAGATGTATTTAAAAATACATTTAATAATTTGTTGGGAAATACATTACTGGATTAAATGTATTGTGATCTTTGGGGTTCTTTCTTAAGTTTTTTTCCTTTTATTTCTCTATTTTTTTCTTTCTTTCTTTCTTGATCCTGTATTCTTTCTTTCATTTTCTTTTTTTTTTTTTTTTTCTTAAAAAATCTTAACCTGTTTTAAAATTTTAAGCCAAGTAAATATGAAATATTGTATATTAATATTTCATACTTACATTTACAGCCAGCAGGTGGAGCTCTGGGCTCCTTTTCTCCTATTTGCCAGGTTAGTCTTACATTCTTTCCCACCCAAAATATGTTTATAGAGCTCAATAGCTCAAACTCAAATATACATACACAAGTGAAAGAGTCAAAGAAGTTACTTATGCCCCTCCTTCCCTTTCCTTGCCAGCCTGTGCAGACTTGCTCCTTTGGAGTTTCAATCAGAGTCTGAAGGTAAATTGTTTTTGCTGTACTCTCATTTGTGCTTATCTTTGGTGCTCTGTGACATCAGTGTCATTCGTGGAAATTCTTATTTAAAGAAGTTTATAGCTGAACTCTGGGGAAAGCAAACATCCTCCACACTGCACTCTGCTGCAAGGGTAAATTGCTTGTGTTGGGGAGTAGGGTACCAGAAAAACCTGTTTCACTTAATCGATCCTCCGTTCCCACAAACAGCATTACTAAAGACGTCCTTACAGCCTCTCCTCATATAAGTCCCGACAGTCACATGTCACATCAAATACAATGCAGGGCCCATGGCCTTGTACTGGACACAAGAATGCTAAGGGACAGTCCAACACCTAAGAAGAGGAGAGCGCCTACTGCTGGGGAACAAGGGATCAGGTAAGAAAACTGCCTCTTCCAGTACCCTAGATGTAAACAAGCATTTAACCCTTGCAATGCAGGGGCAGCCCCACACAGCACGGGAGACTGTTTCCTCTCCTCAGAGATGAGCTTTCATTTTTAATTACACTGTAGCAGCCCTATAATATGGTCACCTACATCTTGTGCAGGAGTATGATACACTTGACTGCCATCCCTTGGTTCACCTTCTCCTGAAACAAATCACATGCATAAATCAAATTTTTAGGACTAGGCATTACAGCCAGTCTGCTTTTTTCCAGGGCTGGAATAACAACTAAGAGAATGCAGTACATGACATGTGCATGGCATTTTCACAGCCACAGAATTCTATTCCCTTTAATGGCTCCCAGAAGCCAGGCAGAGGAAGGCCTGTGTTATTAGTTGACATTTAATGAAATAAAAGTGGTAAATGACTGTCTTGTAGGAAATGATGGGATAAAAAGTGAAAATCAATACAAAATTATTTATCCATTTTCCTTGCTTTTCTCAAATGTCATTTGTGTAATGACTGCAATAGATTGATGCATATATTTTAAAAACATAAAACTGAAACTTTTGACACTAAAAGTGAACTTCCGTTAGTGTAAAAAGTACTAAGGAATTTTATTTTACTTGAGAACATGCTGCACACTACAATATACTGAAAAATGCCGTGTCACCTGACAGAGTATCATGGTATACTGTGCATACTGGCTCATTATGGCAACAGCACATCCCCCTCATGCAGCAACCTTTAGTTCAGCTTGTAGGGTACATTAACATGGGCAGTTAGTAGCATGCAGTGGATTTCTGCAGCAATCACATGTGTATGTGAACAGATGTGGCCATGAAGCCTGTACAAAGCAATGACAGGGGCCATGGCTTTCCACAGCTGTACAAAGCAATGACAGGAGCCATGGCTATCCACAGCTGTACAAAGCAATGACAGGAGCCATGGCTATCCACAGCGGTACAAAGCAATGACAGGAGCCATGGCTATCCACAGCGGTACAAAGCAATGACAGGAGCCATGGCTATCCACAGCGGTACAAAGCAATGACAGGAGCCATGGCTATCCACAGCGGTACAAAGCAATGACAGGAGCCATGGCTATCCACAGCGGTACAAAGCAATGACAGGAGCCATGGCTATCCACAGCTGTACAAAGCAATGACAGGAGCCATGGCTATCCACAGCTGTACAAAGCAATGACAGGAGCCATGGCTATCCACAGCGGTACAAAGCAATGACAGGAGCCATGGCTATCCACAGCGGTACAAAGCAATGACAGGAGCCATAGCTATCGAAGGCTATGATTGGTGATGATTACATCCATGGCCAAAAATCTGTCCCTAACTGCAATTAACTACTGGATATGCTGATGCATGCAACAGCGGCAGATAGTCATGACTCCTGTCAACCTACCATTACTTTGTGCCGGCTTCTCAGCTCAAGCTGTTCCCATACACATATGATTCCAGCCACAAGAATCCGCTGTATACCTCTACCTGCCCATGTGTATTTAGCCTAAAGCTGCCACATACTGTCCCAGCTAGGATGGAGGGGCAAAATATCAGCTGCTTTCATCCCAGTGGTGCATTGCTGATCTCCAGAAAATGATAGTTGACAGAATGCCATGATAATCCAATGGCTTTCACATCACTGAGGCCCCT